GTACCTCTACTCTAAACTAGTTAAGGATAATATATGTAAGTCTCGACAGTTGACAGGAATCAACTACCTATTTACGGTGATTATTTTGCTGCACCTTTATTGATATTAATTTCATACTACTTTTTCCTGTATCATTACTAATATTTCATATGAACCATTTTCAGGCATGGATTCATAAATATTATCCACATCTCGTCGGGTGGGCATATGTGGAAGACTACTCTAAGCCTTTTCCATTTGCGTGCTCGATCATCTCACTTATAAAGAGTTAGGAGACCAAGTCGTTCAAAGTTGCTCTTAACCACGTCATACTAGATGATATTTACTTTATGTTGTACGATGGGCACCGTGAGACACAACCCTTGGAGGTGATAGTCTTTTACTCTGAATTATTGGCATGTAGGTCTCGACTTATGTATCCTCATCTACCTAAGAGAATCTTGTAGTAGTTTGAATATATCCAAGTTATACCCAAAGATCTCAATGTTGCTGCTACTGTCACTATCCTCCGCGGGGGTTCTTCCATTATCCTCTTCATGGATGATGATGATGATGATGATGATATTTTTGTAGTGTACTTTGATCATTTCGTCCTAGAGGATGTACATCGTGTATCAACTCCTCGTCTATGGAGTATGGTATAGGACTACATCTAATAATTTTATAGAGTGACATTTCCATACATGATACCAAATACAGAGGGAGATCCATTGAAGCCAGCTCATCAAGAGATCTTAGAGACGAGCAAATAAAGGTGGACCAAATCGTTGATGTGTTACCGATATGTCCCCGTATTGTGGTTATTGAAAGAGAGATCATAACTAAAGGCGAATTTGAAGAAAGCACTCCTCAAATGGCCATTTTATAGGTCATAACAGAGACACAACATATGTTACAGTATTTGACGACAGAGAAAGAACAGAGGCGTCAGATATAGGTACTTGTGAAATTTTATTTTGTATATTTTTGACATTTTTGTATTATGGTCTGTAATGAAATTGATTATGACATTTTAACATTCATATATATGTAATAGTTCTTCTATTTTAAATAACAAATATGTATGATTTATTCTAGGATTGATTTATAAATGATTTATAATATAAGTTTATTAAAAAAATGTCAAATTTCTTTTAATTTACTATCAAAAGATAATGTATGGAGTTAATCCAGAGCTATGATCCAGAGATTGGAATCCAGATCAATTTGTTACAAAAATAGGGTGCTTCAGCCATGAAATGATTTTATTATAGAATGTACGTGTTCAAATTTTAAAATTCAAAATATGACATATTGGGATTTCTAGAGTGTGTGACCACTCCATAGGGTGTGTAGTGAACAACACCAATTATTCATTAGCTCTTAACCATAACGTTGAATTTTGGGTGTCATGGACGTAGACTTATACATGGATGATTATAAATGTTACTCTCTCCGTCACAAAATAAATATCAAGGTTGATCATTCCACAAAGATTAAAAAATATGATAAATAAAAAAGAATAATAATTTTATCAAATTATCATTGTTTATTATTAGTGTATTCGAATTATCATAAATGTAAATAGAGTGAATAATAAATTGAGAATTTTATGTAGAGGGTTGAAAGATAAAAATTAGAATTGAATTGAAACCAATAAATGACATTTATTTTGGAACAAATAATTTTATCATATATGACATTTATTTTAGGACGGTGGGAGTAGGAAAATAAAATCAATACATCCTTCTAAATTCTAATCTCTTCAACAATTGAAATATGAAATTCTAGAGTCTTGACTTAGGACCCTTTCTTTTAGGAATGTCTAATGCATCATAATGACCAAACCCATGGTAGAGAACTCTAATTGGATTCTCCTTGCCGTATTCTTGCCCATACTCAGCTATTGATATCAACCCACCAGCATCCTTATCATACATATATACAGTGATTGGCATCCTGCATAATAGGCCTCCTCATATCAAAATCCAAATGTCTACATAATACATAATAACTAGGACTTGTTCATGGTTCAGTTTAGGTAGGAAAACCAAACTGTTGAAAATATGTGAGTGTAGTGCAGTTTCGGTTCAATATAATTATGTGGTTCAGTTCAGTGCAGTTTGGTTCAGTTTTGTGGTTTTGTTTGGTTTCTCTTTTTTTTTGTTTTGTCATATACATAACAGCATAAAGCAAATTAAATCTACTTGCCTAAAAGGAAGAGAAGTAAACTTACTGCAAAACATGTGAAGCAATGAACAATTCAGGTTCACCTCCCCACACATGAGGCTTCCTTATTTGTGAAATATATGAATCAAAATCACCTTCAATAAACCTGAAGATATCATGAGAAAACCATGGCCATTATCAAACAATAGTCATTCTCCGTTTCAACTATTATTATATAGTAAACAAAGAAACATTTATCTTTGTTTTATCAATTCAAATTCAAATGTTTTTTTGGTGTATATGTGTTACGACTTATGAGTGGAGAAACTCACCATTCTGTTTCTGCCTTTCTTTTAATAAACTCATCCGCAACCTGACAAATAGTACAAAGAAAAATCAATAACATGGACCTAGGAAGAAAATGACTACAAATAGTTTGATTTATAAGTTATTGAAACAATAATAAGCAACGGGTAAGAAAACAATCAACAGTGAATACAAACGTCGAATTGTAGCTAGTAGTGTGCTTTCAATTCTTCTGCTATGAGCTTTTCTATTTAGTTTTGTGCATGCCAACCCAGGAAGGGGGTTTCTACACTGGATCGAGTGATATATAAAGATATTTAAAACATACCTTGGCCCGTAAATCATCGGCTAGCTCTTTCTGAAAGCTTTCATTAGGCGGGGGTTTTCCTGATCTCAAACAAGCCCCATGAGCAACTGACCGGAACATGCACCTTCCATCTCCAGGTATTCCTGCTCAGAACGGTGAATTTTATGAACAATGCAAGCAGCAACTTTTTTACATCAATTTGTACAAGTTAATGCATACATAAAAATGTACATAGACTATATATGTAGTGTCTTTGTTCTTGTGGTGTTATGAACATAGCCGTGCAGTGAGTCTGAAGCTTGAATTTCTAGTTTTGTAAAATTGCAGTATAAACAACATTGGGACGCGATATTTACAAACTTGACATAGAACCAAAAAAGTGTGTATGTATCAAAAGACTATGAGCAGAATGTGCAGTTTACCAATTACAGAATAGTCGGTGTGAACTTTCTTCCCGTGAGCGAGTTTAACATTTGACTCGTCGTAGTCATCATTCCTATTCTCATTTCCATTACCCGTCTCAGCATGTGCAGGCTCAGAACTTAAATTACAAACAAATAATCCGAAAATAAAGCCAACTGACGCACAACCGCGCGGCCAAGTTATTCGTCCCACGTTGCACTTAACTTTGGAAAGCATTTTTTGTTTAGGAACCGACAGCCTCATACTCATACTTTGACACGACAATGAAATATCACTATGTCTCTTCCCAGATACTACAGAACTAAAGACTTGAGTATTTCCCCTTTGCTTGGAGCAGCACGATCCAAGGTAACTTCCTCTGATAGTTTGGCCCATAATCGTTGAACAAGACGCTTTTCTGCAAATAGAAAGAGCAACATAATTTGTCTCCGATTTCCCAGGGTAAATACTGGAAAAAAATGAACAGGATGTTCCTCTGGTCTGAAGACTGCAGATGTTACTGCTCATCAGCAGCCGAGTACGCCCTTTCACGATAACAGCGTTTATGGAAGATTGACTAACAGGAAAGCAATTACTCATGTTTACATCACCTGAATCAAATCCAAAGTATAATTGTTAGAAAATGTCCAAATAACATTCCTAGAATATGCATAACGGCCTTAATCTTCGACATACAAATATGACATACAGATGTATCACTAAATTGTTTAGAGAATCAATGCAATGGAAAAGTAAGTCCTTAATCCCTTGATGTTGCTAGTTCTAAAAATACCAACAATAAAAAATGTAACATTGTAGTAAGTAACCAATTCATCAAAGCTGAGAATACCAGATCATACAACAGATGCTATAATTCAAATAACGACCATACTTGACATCTAGAAGGCTTAAACTCAAAGTGTTCAGATTTTAAGAATTTTCTGACTCAGTATAGTGTTCTGGGTCAGCCAGTGGCCGAATTCTGGCCCAATATGAAATAGGTCCAATTACCATTTTTCATGCAATCTAAGGTAGATTCTGGTCATAATTCACTCTAACCGTTTTATTTATTCACTGACTTGAGCGTTGAAGTGTTAACCTTGTATATCCTCCTCCACGGAACTGCACCAGAGATCTGCACAACCGTACCAAAAATCTACATCATCAATTTACTAACAGCTCTGGCTCCTGATTGAAACAGTTGCAGTTGCGCTGTCTGTGGGAACTCAAAGTTTGCACTGTGCCCCTTAGGCTCAACTCGAGGGCAATTGTTTTGGGCTGACCAAAATAGTCTCAGATTGCTTAGGAACGAAGGCTAAGGATAGTTTATATACAACACTCTTCCACCTCAATGCAACGAGACGTCTTGTCTAAAGAACAAAACCGTAGGGTTTTCATATCCAAAACAAACAATATCTCGTAGCCGCATAGGCGCGGACTTGAGGTCGACCAGAAGAGATAGGAAACACATTCTTAATCCTAATTCCCTTCACATTTACCCAATCCATATCTTCCGTTCACCATTTACTAAATATTAAGTCTCAAACCTTAATTAACATATATCTAATGAAAAGAAAGACTAAATAGACGAACTAGAATCGACCCACATAAACTAGCATCACCAACAAGAAAAAACCAAAGAAAAAAAAAAGGACATCTTGGGAGATTACAACATTGTATAATTGTAAAGATTAATTAAAATATCAAACATGTAGCATGTTTGTGTCGTGAATTGAAGAAAAATAATAATAATTGAAATTGTGAATGATTCCTGTAGCTGTAATAAATTAGTTTGAAATGTAGAAAGATTAAATAAATAGAAACGAGGGAGAGGAACCTAACCTGTAGATACGAGGGGAGGGGGGAAGGGTAGAGGAAATTGAAGACGGGAAGCAGAGTTGTAGGGAAAAGCAATACTGTGTGGGGTTGAAGAAAAGAATAGTTTATTGCTTGGAAATGGAACAAGACGAACCAATTTTTCAAATAAATGTTTCAGCGAAGCTTCTACACCCCTCCAGAAGCTGAGACGGGAGCTAGGGAACCTAGAACATATACCTGATATACACTGAAACAATTAAGTAATATTTAAAAAGACAAGAACTTCGATGGACTTCTTAACAAAAACTCACTGACCACAATTTCATAATACCTCACAGTTTTAATATTTATATTTGGTCACACTATGATACCAAACTCCTATTTGGGCCACCTATATGAGTAACTCTTGTCTCAATTTTACACAACGTTCCCTCTAAGACACCCAGTTGAAGTTTTCAGCTGTGAATTAGATAAGTGGTGTAAGGTATCAATCAGGATGAAGTGTTTATGCTTAAGTAACATTAGTTTACTTTGCAACGCTGCAAATTCAGTTCTCATAAAATATTCTTTTTGTTACCCATAGGGACATGGATTCTAGACTATAACAACACAACCATTATCAAATTATTTTATGTATTCATCAAATGTGAAGGTTTATTTACCTAAAACTTTATGTAACATTTTATACTTGCTTCATTTCGATTCTTGAACTATAAAAGATGCACTAGGTAACATGAAAATTATGCACCTTGATAAAACATAGTTTAGGACTATCAATCATAAATAGGAGTTTTTTTATATAACAAATAAGAGATTTAATAGTTTCCTATACCTGTCCAAAGGGCTGGTGAATATGTTTAAGATGGATAAAAGGCATTCCAAGATATTGACAGGGATACTGAGGTGAATGCAAATACATAGTTGATGAAGAGTGTGCCCCAATTTGATTATGAATAAATGGTGATATCATGGTCTCTGTGTTGAGTTCTTATAGGAATATATAGATCAACAGTGAGTATATGAATAAAATAGAATATCGTAATTATATTATTGCGGATGAACAATTACAGAGAAATAACAATGATGAAAATAACAAACTGATAGAGAATATTTATCTGCCTCTAAGCACGCAATGCTTCCCTCATTAAGATGGTAATCCTTAACCCCTAATAAAATAATTAGATACCTACTTCTCTCCCTTTCTTTCCTATTTTATAGACACAAATTTAGCTGATTATCCTCTTCTCTGTTTCATCGTAACAAACTTCTATAATTATTATAATAAACTCCTATAATAATTATAATAACAAACTCAGATAATTATCTTTCTCTTCCTTCCCTATTTTATAATAATAAATGATGGTCCACCCTACCATCCACGTTTCTATCACTCCCACCTCCATAGGAATAGACTTGTCCTCAAGTCCAAATTCAGAAATTTGACCATGCAAACCGTCATTGCCTTCCCTTGTTACATCATCAATAGACTTATTCTTCCATTGGATCAAACTCTGGTGAACTGCAGTACCCTTCTTCATAGTGATCCTTGAGCCTAACCCCTTATCTGGATACCTATATGCAACTTTTATAACCTTTAATTCTCTAGGTAATTCCTTTTGTCCTTGCAGCATCGCTTCTTTCTCTTCATGCCAGAACTGCATAGTTAAGGTGTAACACCCCTTCTAAATAACCCGCGAATATATTAATTAAATCAGAGTAACATGGAAAACAGGGATGTCACAACTCAAGATAAATATAAAAACCTCAAATCTACAGTTATCATGCTTTACTGAAGGAATTATTAAAATAAATATTCAAATCAATATCATGTTCTACACAGCGGAAATGTCTCAAAACCGGAATAACTTCACTTCATAAGTATTCCCAACATAAATTAAACAATAGAGTATAAAATAAAACTCATCATTCAAACGTTTCCTCCAGTGTTACAACCTATCAGAGCATGACACTAACACGCGGACTTAAAGTAACATAGCTCTAGAGCCATCCTCACCAACTCCTGAGCTGCTAACTTTAATCTGAAATCATTAAATTTAGGGTGAGATTTCTCATAATTAACATGCATTATATGCTTCTCAATCAACAGTATATCACAAGCATATTATTTCACCCATTTTAGCATAAACTCATATTCAACACACAGTTCCAATTATACAAGTCATTATGCACAAATCAATAATCAACCAAAGAATTGTAACACTGGAAGACATCCTAACATGTTACAATTCCATGCAAACACAAATGCAGACACAATGCATGTGGTACCAACACGTGACCAAGTCACCCAACACTGATCCGTCATCAACCGGATACAGCAACCATCGATTCGTCCATAAACACCGGACACGAATCCAGCTGATCCATCATCAACCGGATACAGCAATCCATCGATTCGTCCATAAACACCGGACACGAATCCAACTGATCCATCATCAACCGGATACAGCAATCCATCGATTCGTCCATAAACAACGAACATGAATCCAGCCTAACCACCCATCATCACCCGGGTATCGGTTAACGGCAATACAAGTCAAATTCCACACAATGGGAATTAACTTCACCAAAACAATGCATATGCATGCACATCACCAGCATGCAACATCAAATCAGTCTATGAAATACATCAATTTATCATAACTGAACCAAAACCAAAAGAAACATGATATCATTATCTATCATACACACATCAAACAGCATAAACATGCACTTCATCCACAAGGACCTGATACAATCAATTATCATGGATACACCATTGAATATACACCAAATATGCACATAATAACAAACCGCATAATCGGAAAGTCAACATCAAATCAACGGAATATGATCACAACATAATTCCAAATAATGCCAAACCAATATATCACATGATCACATCTCAATCATAATGGATAGCAGGCACAAAACATAAGTATCAGTTCTCATTCACCAAATCAGAACAATTTACAAACAATTCTACATCATACTCAAAATACCAAAGTTTACAAAAATCGGGAATTCGATTCTTTTTAAAATAATTTTCATAAAATAATATTTTTCTTATTTTATAAGATAACATTTTAAATTTAAGAAATACTGCCGAAAACGACACTCAAATCGGACTTACGGTTTGAAAGTTATGAATTTTCAAAGTTTAATATTTTTCAAAAAGTTACGTTTCTGGAAAATGTACTGGAACCCGGTTCCTACCTATACAAGAACCGGTTCCTGCGACCAATTTTGCAAGTTTTTGTACGTTCAAACAGTGGAACCCGGATCCTCCCCACTGGGAACCGGTTCCTGCGACCTACAGAGCCAAAAATTGCTATTTTGACAGCATTATGTATCTCAATCCCATCCAATTCATACCCATGCGAATTATAACATTAGGAACACCAAAATGCAACCAATACACATCAATACAACATCATAAATCATTTTTCCATCATTCCTATTACTTATTCATCACATTAATGGTTCCAATTCCTATACTCTGACACAATTAGGGATAATCCCACAACCCTAGAATTCCAAAATTGAGATTCCTAACATGCTTAATCAATTCTATTGATCTCAAAATCTATAAGGCATATTAAATAATTGAAATCACCCCTTACCTCGCGATGATCCTTCGAATTCACGGCGTTTGGCTTTTTCCTCTCTTCTCTTCTCTTCTCTAATTTCACGTACAATGAGTTTTCCAAATAACCTCTTTTTCTTCTCCTTTTATTATTTTCCAAATAATAGAAATAAATTAGTAATTATTTAGTAGAGCTTTTTACTTCACACACCTCTAATTCAACCTTACACCCCCCCCCCCCCCCCCCCCCCGGTCTTCCTTTTTAATTTCATAATTAATTCATCCATTTAATCCAAAATATTATTAATTAAGCCTTTAATTAATTTAATAATTAAATTCCTAATTATTTAACACTTGAATAAATTTGGGGTGTCACAACTCTCCCCAACTAAAAGAGTTTTCGTCCTCGAAAACATACCTTAGACGAACAGTTCGGGATACGAGTCCTTCATCTGGCTCTCCAGCTCCCAAGTGACATTTCCATCTGCTGGTCCTCCCCAAGCCTCTCTTACCAACGCGATCTCCTTGCCTCGCAACTGTTTCAACTTCCGATCCTCAATTCTCTCAGGTACCGCTTCCACAGTCAAATTCTCTCGTACCTGTATATCGTCTACCCGAATCTCATGAGACGGATCAGCAATGTACTTCCTTAGCTGAGATACATGAAAAACATCATGCAAATTTGCAAGTGACGGCGGCAAAGCAATCTGATAAGCAACTTTCCCAACTCTCTTGGTAATCTGAAACGGACCAATAAAACGTGGAGTCAACTTCTTTGACTTCAAAGCTCGACCAATACCAGTCATCGGAGTAACTCGCATAAAAACATGTTCTCCTTCGCTAAACTCAAGATCTTTCCTCCTCTTATCGTGATAACTTTTCTGACGACTCTAAGAAGTCCTCATCTTCTCCTGAATCATCTTAATCTTTTCTGAAGTCTGTTGGACAATTTCCGGTCCAATCACAGCACTCTCTCCAGATTCATACCAACACAACGGTGTCCGACACCTCCTACCATATAATGCCTCAAACGGAGCTATACCAATGCTCGAATGAAAACTATTGTTGTAGGTAAACTCAATCAATGGTAGATAACTATCCCAAGCTCCACCTTTCTCCAACACACAAGCTCTTAACAAATCTTCCAACGACTGAATCGTTCTCTCCGTCTGACCATCTGTCTGTGGATGATAAGCGGAACTCAAACGCAACTTAGTACCCAAAGCTTCTTGCAATCCCGTCCAGAATTTAGATGTAAACCTCGGATCTTGATCCGACACAATACTAGAAGGAATACCGTGCAAACTCACAATCTTCTCAACATACAATTCTGCCAACCTTTCCATCGGATAATCCATTCTTATCGGAATAAAGTGAGCAGATTTCATCAACCGATCAACAATAACCCAGATAGAATCACAATTCTTCCATGTCCTTGGCAAACCAGACACAAAATTCATAGAGATTCTATCCCATTTCCATTCCGGAACAAACAACGGTTCCATCAATCCTGACAGTTTCTGATGCTCAATCTTCGACTTCTGACAAACCAAACAAGCATACACAAACTCAGCAATTTCCTTTTTCATTCCCGACCACCAAAACAACTTCTTCAAATCATGGTACATTTTAGTAGCACCAGGACGAATACTCAATCCACTACGATGTCCTTCTTCCAAAATACTCTTCCTAATCTCTGCAACATCCGGAACACACACCCTATTACCAAATCTCATAACACCATTCTCATCAATCCGGAACTCGCCTCCTTGAACTTGGTTGATCAATGTCAATTTATCAACTAACCCAACATCGGACTTCTGTTCATTCCGAATTTCTTCCAGAATACCACTAGTCAGTTTCAACATACCCAATTTCACACTATTCGGAGTAGTTTCACATACCAAACTTAAATCTCTGAACTGCTCAACCAAATCTAACTCACGGACCATTAACATCGACATATGCAAGGACTTCCTACTCAAGGCATCCGCAACAACGTTTGCCTTACCAGGATGGTAATTCAAATCGAAATCATAATCCTTTAGAATTTCTAACCATCTCCTCTGCCTCATATTCAACTCTTTCTGATCAAAGAGATACCTTAGACTTTTGTGATCACTGAACACCTCAAACCGAGAACCATATAAATAATGCCTCCACAACTTCAAAACAAACACAACAGCTGCCAACTCCAAATCATGAGTCGGATGATTCCTTTCATGTACTTTCAATTGTCTCGAAGCATAAGCCACCACCTGCTTATCTTGCATCAACACACCACCTAATCCCATTAATGATGCGTCACAATACACAACAAAAGACTTAGTCGGATTTGGCAAAATCAAGATCGGAGAACTTGTCAATCTCCTCTTCAGCTCTTGAAATCCTTTCTCACATTCAACATCCCAAACAAACATCTGACCCTTCCTGGTCAACTTAGTCAACGGTAACGCTAATTTGGAAAATCCTTCTATAAACTTCCTATAATAACCTGCAAGTCCCAGAAAACTACGGATCTCAGAAGCATTCTTCGGCGCTTCCCACTGAGATACTGCTTCTACCTTCGTAGGATCCACAGCAATTCCATTCTTGGAAATTACATGGCCAAGAAAACTTACTTCGCTTAACCAGAATTCACACTTGGACAACTTCACATAAAGCTTCTTCTCTTTCAACAATTCCAACACAACTCTGAGATGTTCTGCATGCTCTTCATCGCTCTTCGAATAAATTAGAATATCATCAATGAACACCACCACAAACTTATCAAGATACAGATGAAATATCCTGTTCATATACTCCATGAAAACACCAGGTGCATTAGTAACTCCAAACGGCATAACAGAATACTCGTAATGTCCATAACTCGTTCTAAATGCAGTTTTCTGAATATCTTCCGACTTCACACGAATCTGATGATATCCAGATCTCAGATCAATCTTACTAAATACACAAGCTCCAACTAGTTGATCCATCAAATCATCGATCCTCGACAAAGGATACCGATTCTTGATTGTAACTTTATTCAGCTGCCTGTAATCAACACATAATCTCATTGAACCTTCTTTCTTCTTA